GCTGGAGGAGACTCCTGCGAATCCCTTGGACTGCAAGGTGATCAAACCAGTCAATCCTAGAGGAGATCAACTCTGACTGCTCTTTAGAAGTCCAGATCCCAAAGATGAAACTCAAATACTTTGGCCACTTAATGAGAAGGAAGGACTCACTGGAGCAGAGTTTAATGCTGGGAAAGATTGAGGGCAAAAGAAGAAGGAGATGACAGAATGAGGTGGCTGGATGGAGTCACAAAAAGCAGTAGGTGTGAACTTAAATGGACTCCAGAGGATGGTAGAGGACAGGAAGCCCTGTAGGAACATTGTCCATGGGGTCACGATGGGTTCATACATGACTTTGCAACTAACAACAACAACAATTTATCATTCTACTGCTAAGTTTCTTCATTTACAGAGAGAATATTGCATTGGATATTTTATTACATTCAGTTATGGATCAAGCATATATAAGGAATGATCATTTGGGCTATACTTAAAATGGGATAAAATTATTTTTCTATCCTGCCACAGAAGTTCTCTTTTATAGTTTGAAGGACAGGAAGGAATTGATTCACCACCTGGGAAAACAACTGGTTTACTTGTGCTCTTTTGAGGAAAATTAATAGAGATGTGTGATCTGTTGCCATTTAATGTTAAAGTATTCAGACCCTCTTCACTTTTGACAATTTTGTTATGCTGCAGGCTGATTCTACATTTGCTAAAATTCATTTTTTTCATTAATCTACACTTGGTATCCCATAATGATGAGGTGAAAACAGAATTTTACAAATATCTCATCTATGCTATTTTATTTTATTTATTTTAAATATTTCAATTTGATTTTAAAAAGGAAGAGAATGATAATGTATAGAGGCAATGTTAAAAAAAAAAAAAAATGCTGAAGATGTCTCACTGTTTTTATCTCATACAAATCCTCCTGAGTTCTGAAACTCTTTGAATGGTATTGGGTCAAAAGTTCCTTCAGATCTGTATCTTTACCAGAGATAAACGAAGTAGTGATACTTGCTGCATTGAGAATGGTCATTTTTGAATAACACAGCACATTTTTAAAGTTCCAAGTCTCATATATTAATTAATTATTAATGAATGAATGAATGAATGAATGAATAATTCAAAAATGTATCTTTTCATGCCATGATAGACATTCCTGATCTAAAAATGATCCTAATGTAGTATATAACTTCTAGATTATTTATATGCCCTCTTTTGTTTTATCTTTGGCTTTCCTGTTCAATCCATTCACTCTTTTGATATTTATTTTCTTGTTTTCATAGGCATTACAGAGGCCCAGCCACCTTCAGGTGAATAAAATTTTCTATGGATTTCAGCTGCAGGGAACTCAGGATCCAGACACTAATCTGCCTCTCTTGCTCTCCCCACAGCTTGTGGCCGATTTATCCCCTCTTCCCGAATAGTAGGAGGTTCAGTCGCTGAAGTGGGTTCATGGCCATGGCAGGCCAGCGTACAGATATTAGAGTCACATCACTGTGGGGGAACCCTCATTGCCTCACGCTGGGTTCTCTCAGCAGCACATTGCTTTGCCAGGTGAGATCACTTTCCAAAGTTCACTCCTTTCATACAAAATCTCACAAGGTTTGATTCTCAGACTTCTGGAACTAATTTAAACTAATTAAACTCCATTCCCTTTACCAAGAGATCTGGCATCCTAGTGATACGTTTCTTCCATTCTTTCATTGAGAAACCATAGATTCAAGCTATTAGCTATTGTTAGCCACTCATGACTCATGTCCTCCAATTTCTAAGGAAGTGAGTTGTCAGTCATACCTTGTCCAGTAGATTCTATCATGTTTTTTTAGAATTCTTTTTTTTTGGGGGGGGGGGGTAAAGCCCAATCTCCTCACAAGATTTCTTTTCCTGTTTCTCAACCACAATTTAAATTCCTCTTCAACTTTCTCTTAACTGCCTAATTTCAACCTCCTCCTCTTCCTAGCTGAATTTTAAGCAATATATCTGTTTTCATTCCCATAATCCTGTTTATGTTATATTAACTATTTTCTCGGTCTACAGTCTCTCAGATCCCTCTTTATTTGCCATTCTTTTGGGATCCTACAATCTCTCCAATCCTGGACTAGAGTCGGTACTAGTAAAGGTGAAGCAAATTATCATACACTCCAACTACACTGAGCTCATAAAAGGCCAAGATATTGCGCTAATAGAACTTGAAACCCCTGTGAATTTCACCCAGCATATCCAGCCTGCCTGTTTACCAGGATCTTCCATTGTCTTCCCTCCCAGATTGGGTTGTTGGGTTGCAGGCTGGGGGAACATTGGACCACAAGGTGAGGCTATCTGATATATTTCTATATTATGTGATATATATGTGTGTGTGTGTATGTATGTATATATATTTGTTATGTTTGTGCTGATAAATAAATAAAGGGAGACTAGTATAGATCTATTTCAAGCTATTTAGCTCTCATCAGCTAGCCATACCCTTGCTGGGAATCGAACCTGTGCTCTATTGCTTCTTTGGCAGATGTGTTAACCATTGAGCTACAGAGCTCGACTCCTTATCAGCCAGGCCAGGGTGAAAGGTATATATTTAAAGCTAAATAGCTTGAAATAGATCTATACTAGTCTCCCTTTATTTATT